CCCCACTGGAGGGGAAGGCCCCCACTGGAGGGGAAGGCACCCCACTGGAGGGGAAGGTCCCCACTGGAGGGGAAGGCCCCCACTGGAGGGGAAGGTCCCCACTGGAGGGGAAGGTTCCCACTGGAGGGGAAGGGCCCCCACTGGAGGGGAAGGCCCCCCACTGGCAGGGTCTGTCACAGAGCAGCACTAAGACACTCAAATCGTCTAACACGGTTGTGCAAACTCAGAATGCTGAAGGAATGGACTCTGTCCAGGATCACGATCCCGCTCTCAAGAATTAAAGAAGCTGCGACCAGCAACCGAAAGCCCGATGGTGTCTGCTGCCATCATCTCCTCGTTTCCAAGTTCACCGCCCACCAGAGCGCCACAATGAGGCGCACCTGCTCTCCAGTGGGGTGCAGTCCCCTCCCGTGGGGGAAGCCGCCCGCTGCACAGAGCAGCAGCGCAGGCACGTCCGGAAGGCCGCTGCCTAGCCGCGAGTGGCTCGGTTTTCCACTAAGCGTTAACAGTCAACGATCAACAGGGGACTTGAGCGAGACAAAAAAACGCGTCACTTGAGTCCCGATTTCCAAATATTTAGGCATAAATACAATGTGTACCCCACCAACTTCCCTCCCACCCCGGTTGCTCCATTTGCTGAAAATACCTTCGGATAAGCCAAAGTCAAGTAATTAAAAAAAAAACAAACTTCCCAGTGCCACTGCTGATTTAACAAACAACAGCGAGAGATTCTCACTGCTCTCACACTGGGCGTCTGTGAGAACAGACCGGCTAAAGAAAGGCTTGAAGTGGAGCAGGTTCTTTTTATTCCTCTGAAGTGCTAAGTTATTCCATGAGACGCCTGAAGACGCGTTAGCTCCCAAAGGAAAAGCCAGCTAAGCAGACTTGCGGGCCTGCTGTCTTCCCACCCACAAACCCTGAAGGAGGTTCCTGGGTGAGACCGACCCACCGCCGCCTCCCCGAGCAGGGTAAGCGAAGACGTCCTCTCCCACCCCAGGGGCCCCTGAAATAAGGCCAGAGAGAGCCATCGGATGGTCGGGCGGAAGGAGAGAACTCGCCTTTGTCAGACGTCTACGTCTCCGTAGAAAAAAAGCACGTCAGCCCTGCACACCTAGGACGTGTCATTGTGGAAAAGTCACAAGCTAGGTCACCCCCAAATCAATCAAATGAGGGCCTCCCTGGTGGCGCAGCGGGTGAGAGCGCAGCACCACGAAGCTGGCCGCAGCCGCTTCCGCACGAGTTCGATCCCCGGCCCCG